TGTTGGATCGTTTGGTTTGATTTCCGGGCAACCACATGATCATCCGGAGCACAACCTGGCACACATTTTCGATTTGCAATTGGTCCGGGTTCAAAAATAATTACCCATATATAGAGAACTTGTACGTATCAATACACAGCCGCAATTAGCTCAGATCGTTAGCATTAATTTATTGCAAATGCAAAGAGCGATTAAAAGGTACAATACAATTGTGAAAAAGAACTATCGAATGGTACCATAAAAAGCTAAAAAAAATATTTATCTTTAATAGCGAAAAATAACCCTTTATATAGACAGTTTTTCAATAAGCGCAAAAAAAGTAAAAAAATTATTACGAAAATGAATTCATAGTTTAACTCTGCAAAAATATGTAATAATGTGTGCGAAGGTTTAATAAAGTAACTACGACAATCACTACGTTTTACGTAATAAGTTACTATTACTAATGGCATTTTTCGTAACAAAGAAAAATCTCTTCAAAACTTGGAGTACTGCTGTACTGTAGTCCAATTTTGAAAATGCGTACAGGCTGTGCTCCGGAAATCATGTGATAGTCCGGATAATCACTCCGGAAATCATTTTAAATTACTTTAATGTGACGGATTAAAATGAAATCAGATTAGAGATAGTGTAAAATAGACAAGCCACCGAACAATACAAAATTTTGGTACACTTTTTTGGCATTTTTTAGGGTTAGGAATAGTGTTTAGGATAGGTTTATAATAAACAAATATAAGTGGGTTTTAGAGGGACAAATAGAAACCCCTATTATAATCCGCGACACTTAATAAAATTGAATTTAATTTTATCTATTTCGGCAATACTTTTAAGGTATAGTACAGTCAACTCTTTTACAACGAACCTCTCTATAACGAACTCTGGATAAACGAACTAAAAATTTTAAATTTAATTAGTTCAGTATAAAGAGTTATAGTTTCTTAAAAAAAAAAAAAAAAAAAAAAAACAGTAATTTATACTGAAATTTTTTTAGATCCGAAATCATCAGTTCGTTATAGAAAAAGTCGACTGTAAATGAAATTCTTCATATTTTGCATACACTCATAATGATTTGCGTGTTTTCCTTTAGATATTCCATACTTTCTTTATTTACTTTTATCAATCTTTCGCGTACATTATAACAACTAGCATGTTTTCTTTTATACTTCGTATCGATATTCATTAATAAAAAAGCGTTTCGGATCATTTTCTAAAAATAAATTCTCTTAATTGGGCAATTTCATGTGTGCCATATTATAATGGTTTTTTTGATATTTCTAAGTGTCGATTAACCATTTTAAAGCTTTCTTTGTTTTAATATCTACATATAAATTCGTGTTATTGTTAAATATTAGTTCAAGCTCAGTATATTGTGCACAGATAGAACAATAAAACTTCACAGGTACCTTAAAAATATTTGGCGCGATATGCAACTTTTTCAAATATTTTCTTTATTATCAAAATTCTTTCTGTATCTCTTTCACATGTAATATAAAAGGTTAGAAAATATTTAGAAGATATTTAGAAAGGTTGCATTTCACACCAAGAATCTTTGAAAGGATACTTGTTGAAATGTTTATTGTTCTACCTGTTGTGTTTATAGAATTTGCGCTATAAAATTGGTAAATCAACGTAATTTTACTTTCTTTTTCTGTCTTCATTACAGCACAAATAAACAAATATATAAACGAAATAAATAAAAAGCAAAATCTGACTTTATAAATCATTAATGTTATCATCTAGAAAAGTCGACTACAGTACTTTACAGAAACATGCATGCAATTACCTATAAAGTAACTATACAATCACTTTATAGTAGCTATAGTTTTACATTTACTATACGCTTACTACTTACTACTATTTTACTACGATTTTATAAACCATTTTAAAAATTGGAGTAAAAGTATAATAAAATAGTAGTAAGTAGTAGGCGTATGGTTAATGTATAGTAAATGCAAAATTATAGTTACTATAAATTTACTATTTATAGTTAATTACAATTACTTAGCATTAAAGTTGCAGTTTCTGTAAAGTAATTGCGGATTATCCCGGAGCACAACCTTGTACACATTATTTTAATAGGTTGAATTTTTAATTTTACTTTGACAGTTTAAAAGCCCAAAGTTTAATATAGTCATTAAATAGTGATTGTAATGACTTTCTTTTTGGAAAAAGAAAATAAATAAGCAAAATCAGGTTTAAAATATTATTCATTGCAAGAGTAAATGGGGCGTCACTAAATATATCGATTGTAAAACGATCTGTTATTTTCTAATTTGAAATTGATACATATCAATTAAAAATTACATGAATTAAGAAATGGTGTAAAACAAATCGGCTAGACATATGGCCAACACGGCTAACTTCATGTGTTTTTCAGTCAAAAATTTAAGTTACAACAAAATTAACTATGCAAATTATATACGCTAAAATGCACATTGCAATAATAAACACCAGCTATTGACATCACGGACCCATTGTCAACTTCTCACTTAATACTAAAATCGTGAACAAGCAAACTGCTAAAAATAATAAACTCCTTTTTGTTTCTTTCTCTATATGATGCCATATAGGCATATTTCCACGCATTGTTAAAATAACGAATTATTAACTAACGCATTGCTAAAATAACGAATTATTATTGTTAAAATAACAAAGTCACGAACCACCTACCATTAACTCATGAATTATTCACTGCTGAGATCATTAACCTATCTACTATTAAATTGCTAATCCATTTACTGCGAAAATAACGAATCTGCTACTCGTGAAATAACTAATTAAAATTGTAAATCCGCCAACTGTTAAAATCATGAATCCACGTACGATTTCAAAATTTGATCAAAGATGTTATTTTGCGAATTACAATTATAAATTTATACACTGTTGAAATTTCAAATTTATCCACTATTAAATTGTGATCCCATATACTATTGAATCTACGAACCCCTCATTGCAAAATTGATAAATTGATAAAATCTTGAACCCATGCTCTGTTGAAACCACAACCTACTCATCTTTGAAATCACAACCTACTCATCTTTGAAATCACAACCTACTCATCTTTTTAATCACAACCTACTCATCTTTGTAATCACAACCTACTCATCTTTGAAATCACTACCTTGCTTACTATTAAAATTGTAAATTCAAACACTATTGAAATTATTACCCACCACTAAAATTATGACACAATTTGAAATCATAAATTCACTTTTCAAATAGTGAATCCACATGACTATTGAAATCATAAATTTACCTACTCTTGAAATCGCAAACCTGCAGTCACATAAAGTCATCTAAAACAGGGCTATCTTTGAAATTATGAACCATCTGCTGTTGAAATTACGAACTTACAGAATTTCAATTGCTATAAATATTGGCAATCGTAGTGGGAGAGTAAGGTAAGTAATCATATATTCTACGCATGAGAATAGTAACTCAAGTAAAGGAAAAATGTCTTAAAGCAGTCGTGGAGTATTTAGGAGTTTTATTCATGTAAGCTATTGATTGTCTTATAATTAAAGATGGCACTTTCGTTAAATGCACAACAGCAACAAGTATAATAAACATTTGGATAACAGATAATAGATTGTCGGTATTGAGTAGTTAGATAGTTACAGGTTCCGAGGTTACAGTGATCTCGTTTTTGTTTTGTTTCTGTGGTTGCGATAGTGGTGTAAAGACTTTGTTTTTTATTCTTGGGTGCAATGGCAGTGCAAGAATGGCATTTATAACATAATAAATACATTACCGATTCTTCATAACCGAGATTTTCTGTGTTAGATTTTTCTCGTTCATTATTCTAATTTAAGTTGCAGCAGTGTGGTTGGAGACCAAGTTCGACTTGTTACATCAGGTGAATGTGATTTAACCCACAAAAAATTGTTCACCCCCGGTAATTTTGACCTATCAAACTTTAAGATTAGGTGTCAAAACAAACGTGTTTGTGTTACGTGTAAAATGAAAACTAAGAAAACCGTGTTATAGTTAGGATTAGATTAGCAAAATATAGTGCCTATTAGTAAAACATCACGAGGACCATTTTTAATTAGGTCACAGAAGGTGATTTTCTAATTAAAATTTAAAGTTATTCTTGTTTTTTTGTAAAAAAAAGTTGTTTCGTTTCGATTTTTACATTACAATTTTTTGCGGGAGAGCTAGGGCGTTGGTGTATGTAGGGATAGGCAAATTGCCAAAAATTTTAAATTTACTGCGCACCTTAACGATCTCGAGATCCAGTGAATCGATCTTGAGCTCGTTGGAATCTTCTTATTGAGACGATCATTTTGGTGGCAAAATCAACGAAATTGGATCACTGGATCAAGTTATTTGTTGTTAAAGGTAAAAATCCCGCATATAATTTTGTCTCTGATTTTTTTCGCTTGCGCAGTGTGACCATCCCTAGTATGTTATCTGATCAAAATAATAATTAACATTTACAAATAGCAGACACGTACATAACGACTCATTATTCACAAACCATTAGCCTGTGAAATGGTAAACATTCATGTGAAAATGTCAGAAGTTCCAGATTTGATCAGGTATATATGTCGTACCCCAGATTGGAATCGTCCCGATCCAGAATCGGGTTGCCCCGGATGTGAATCTTGTGAATTGTTTTTGCAGAATTAAGACTTTAGGGTTAGTGTTAGGGTTAGGATTGGGGTTTATAATAAAAAAAAAATTAATTTTAGCTAGTATAATTCGGGCCAAAATTACAAAATTCTCATCCGGGACTGTCTCGATTCTGAATCGGGACAGATTCCAATTCGGGGTACAACATATACATATCGATAAACTCCCCCAGCGCGACCAACAAAAAA